GTAGGACAATTCAGTATTTCCCGTGAGGAGAAAGACTTGCCTTGCTTACCTTTCTCAATCGTCAATTATTATTATTTCTTGCTACATCATCTTTTGTCAATTATTGATATGATAAGAGAATTGACAAGGCTGGTCCCGCAATCGACAATACTTTCAGAGACGATTCCTTCAAGTCTAAAAACGACAATCCTTTGATTGGTTTTCGGTTCATGCATCTAAAAACGAAAAAGTGAATTTACAATCAAAATATATTAATAAAAAACAAAAAAAATATTTTTTTAATATTTAAAATATTAATATCTTCCAATAATTAATTCACAGATATCTTATAAAAATCATGTCATCATTCAACATTTCAAAATATATTATCCTGCCATATTTTAATTTACTTTTATTTATAATTTATTATTATTATATCTTTTTAAAAGTCATATCATAAATTCTCTCTCCTACTTTACAGCCATTCATCTTATCCTTTTCCCAAGTTGCATTCCTTCTTCATTCTGTTTCTTCACGGATTGTTTTTTATCTTTCTCTTTTTTATTTTTCTTCACTTCTTTTTCTCATTTTTATTCATACTTTGGCTTTTTTTTTTATCTTAGTGGAGGGTTAAGTAAGTCTATTTAAAAAATTCAGTAAAATCTTTAAAATAAAATCCTTTATTCCTTCTACTTTTAATGTCTTCGGCCTAACCCAATTCTTCTTTTTCCTTTGATTTCGTGGTCGGTGCTGTATTTTTTTATCAGTCATTGCTACTAATTTTTCCTTTATTTTTGTGCATTCTCTTCTCATATCTACTCATAGTTCCTGATCAAGCATCTTCTTCAAATTCATCTTCATCTTTGCAAAAGCATTGTGCTAAATAAACAATGAATATCGAAACCAAAATCATAAAACCAAAAGTGTCAATAACCAATACCAAAGAAAGTCAGGACTTTCGGCATTAATTTCAGTAAAAATAAAAAATGACAAAAATATCTTATGTTACATGTTAAAGATATTTTTTTATTATAAATATATATAAAAATTATAAAAATAAATATTAATTTTAATATTAATATAAATAAGTAAATTTAATTAAATAAATATTAATTTTTATTTTTAACATAAATTTATAATAAAAATATATATTTAATATTTTTTAATTTGTGTAAAAAAAAAACACATATTAAACAAAAAAAAAATTCGATTAGTCAAAAATGGATATTAGTAAATACCGAAACCGACAGTTGCGCAGCCCCAATTGGAGTAGTGCGGTAGTGGCCCTCACTTGGCTATTGATGGGTCAAAATCACCCTATTTTTTAAAATTAAAAATATGAATATTAAAATTAAGTGGATGATGGCACACAGCAATTGACCTCGATAACTGTGAGTGCAATTAACACTTTAAAAAATGATCAGTTGAAGATAAGTATGGAATTTTAATAAAAAAAATATTATGCGCTTTAAATTATCCAAATAAGTGTGGCATAGTTCGATTTTTTTTTTTTTTTTGAAAATAGTTCGAATTG